CTATATCGTCTTCTGCTGGAGACGTACTGTAAATCTGAAATTCTATATTTTTTCTTTAATTGGCTTCGAGAATTTTCCTATTCCTGGAACAGGTTTGTCTGGTGCTTGCTTGGTCAACCAGGTTTGTCTGGTGCTTGCTTGGTCAACCAGGTTTGTCTGGTGCTTGCTTGGTCAGCCAGGTTTGTCTGGTGCTTGCTTGGTCAGCCAGGTTTGTCTGGTGCTTGCTTGGTCAGCCAGGTTTGTCTGGTGCTTTCTTGGGTCAAACCCGTTTTTTCTGGTGCTTGCTTGGTCAACCAGGTTTGTCTGGTGCTTGCTTTTGGTCAGCCAGGTTTGTCTGGTGCTTGTTGGTCAGCCAGGTTTTGTCCCGGTGCTTGCTTGGTCAACCAGGGTTTGTCTGGCTTGCTTGGTCAGCCAGGTTTGTCTGGTGCTTGCTTGGTCAGCCAGGTTTGTCTGGTGCTTGCTTGGTCAACCAGGTTTGTCTGGTGCTTGCTTGGTCAGCCAGGTTTGTCTGGTGCTTGCTTGGTCAACCAGGTTTGTTTGGTGGGTTGCTTGATCAAACCCGGTTTGTTTGGTGCTTGCTTTTGGGCGCCAGGTTTGTCTGGTGCTTGCTTGGTCAGCCAGGTTTGTGTGGTGCTTGCCTGGTCAGCCAGGTTTGTCTGGTGCTTGCTTGGTCAGCCAGGTTTGTCTGGGGGTTGCTTGATCAACCAGGTTTGTCTGGTGCTTGCTTGGTCAGCCAGGTTTGTCTGGTGCTTGCTTGGTCAGCCAGGTTTGTGTGGTGCTTGCCTGGTCAGCCAGGTTTGGCTGGTGCTTGCTTTGGGCAACCAAAGGGTTTTTCTGGTGGTTGCTTTATCAACCAGGTTTTTCTGGTGCTTGCTTGGTCAGCCAGGTTTGTCTGGGTGCTTGCTTGGTCAGCCAGGTTTTTGGGGGTGCTTGCTTGGTCAGCCAGGTTTGTCTGGTGCTTGCTTGGTCAGCCAGGTTTGTCTGGTGCTTGCTTGGTCAACCAGGTTTGTCTGGTGCTTGCTTGGTCAACCAGGTTTGTGTGGTGCTTGCTTGGTCAGCCAGGTTTGTCTGGTGCTTGCTTGGTCAGCCAGGTTTGTCTGGTGCTTGCTTTTGGGCAACCAGGTTTGTCTGGTGCTTGCTTGGTCAGCCAGGTTTGTCTGGTGCTTGCTTGGTCAGCCAGGTTTGTCTGGTGCTTGCTTGGTCAACCAGGTTTTTGTGGGCTTGCTTGGTCAGCCAGGTTTGTGTGGTGCTTGCTTGGTCAGCCAGGTTTGTCTGGTGCTTGCTTGGTCAGCCAGGTTTGTCTGGTGCTTGCTTGGTCAACCAGGTTTGTGTGGTGCTTGCTTGGTCAGCCAGGTTTGTCTGGTGCTTGCTTGGTCAACCAGGTTTGTCTGGTGCTTGCTTGGTCAGCCAGGTTTGTCTGGTGCTTGCTTGGTCAACCAGGTTTTTTCTGGTGCTTGCTTGGTCAGCCAGGTTTGTCTGGGCTTGCTTGGTCAGCCCGGTTTGCCCGGTGCTTGCTTGGGCAACCAGGTTTGTGTGGTGCTTGCTTGGTCAGCCAGGTTTGTCTGGTGCTTGCTTGGTCAGCCAGGTTTGTCTGGTGCTTGCTTGGTCAGCCAGGTTTGTGTGGTGCTTGCTTGGTCAGCCAGGTTTGTCTGGTGATTGCTTGGTCAGCCAGGTTTTTGTGGTGCTTGCTTGGGCAGCCAGGTTGGGGTGGTGCTTGCTTGGTCAAAACCAGTTTGTGTGGTGCTTGCTTGGTCAGCCAGTTTGTCTGGTGCTTGCTTGGTCAGCCAGGTTTGTTGGTGCTTGCTTGGTCAACCAGGTTTGTGTGGGGGCTTGCTTGGTCAGCCAGGTTTGTCTGGTGCTTGCTTGGTCAGCCAGGTTTGTCTGGTGCTTGCTTGGTCAACCAGGTTTGTGTGGTGCTTGCTTGGTCAGCCAGGTTTGTCTGGTGCTTGCTTGGTCAGCCAGGTTTGTGTGGTGCTTGCTTGGTCAGCCAGGTTTGTCTGGTGCTTGCTTGGTCGCCAGGTTTGTGTGGGTGCTTGCTTGGTCAGCCAGGTTTGTGTGGTGCTTGCTTGGTCAGCCAGGTTTGTCTGGTGCTTGCTTGGTCAGCCAGGTTTTTGCTGCTGGTAGCCAGAAGACCAACATGAATATATTAGATGTTGCTGCTTCAGTGAATAGTGTTTTTGTTAATGTTGGTCCCGTTAATAGGGGGTGTCTTGATGCTAGTGATGATCTCATGATCCACTCACTTGGAGCCACCCTTCCTTTACATAAAACCTAATTACCTCCCTTCACCAAGCGCGGTATGACCAAACAGGGTGGCTGCGTTACTATAATAACAATAAATGTAAAAATATTAGTAATAATAATCATATGTATATTAATAATAATCGTAATATATTTTATAATATATAATATATATATATATATATATATATTATATATAATATAATATATATAAGACAAATTATTCCTGATAACCTCAGTGACTCAACAGGAATACAGGACCATAACTATGCCAGTGCTATCGTTGAATGGGAGACTCTTGCTGCTCCAGCACCAAACCCTAGTGCAGCATTGGCTCACAGTCAAGCTGAGATGGCTCGATCACTGAAAACATGCTTGCCAACATGCTCAAGGCTGTAACATCAGACAGGGAGACTGCCCATCTCCAGGCTGTGAGCGCATATCACTCCGGCGACTTCCTCCAAACAGTTCCCATATCGGCACCTCGACCCAAAGACCCTCCGTATTGCAGTGGCTCTGCGCCTTGCTGTCCCAGTTCACACGGAATATACGTGTATTTGCGTCGAAGTGCAAGCCAACCAAGGGCTGGCATGCAAGACATAATGAGGTCAACGACATAAAGAGAAGCCTTGCTACAGCTGGATGCCCAGCCGAGAGGGAGTCCAAATCACTAGCAGCCAACAATACCCATAACCCAGCAAACTGCCCCGATGGGATCACCATCTATCCTTGGAAGAATGGCAAGCTCTTAGCATGGGACTATATCTGTGTGTCCACACTGGCTGACACCTATATCCGCCACAGTGTCGGGCAACAGGGAGGAGCTGCTGATCACAGGGAGGAGTACAAGATCAGCAAGTACAGGGACATAAGCCAACAGTATCAATTTGTCCCAGTGGGATCAGAGACCTTGGGATCATGGGGAAAAAAATGCCACACGTTTCCTTAAATAATTGGGCTCCAGATCATCGACACCACCAGGGATCCATGGGCAGCCACTTTCATGTTCCAGCGCCTCAGCATGGCCATCCAGAGGGGAAATGCTTGCTGCATACTTGGCTCGCTTCCAGCCTCGGAGTAAACTGGAAGAAAACCATAATCTTTAACAATTGGGAAACCCTTGTATTCATGTTTTGTGTTTCCTGTAAATGTATTTTGTCTTTTAATAAATTTTCCCATAGAATATAAAATGAAGGGGGTGATAGAAGAAAATATTCAAACAGCTCCGAGGAGAACCTTGAGTTTTCCCTGAGGTACGTTTATTGTCTTCTCTGAGGATGAGGGTCCCCATTCCAGCCATAGAAGTGGTACCTCCCAATGTTTTGATATATATATATATTTATATATATTATATATATATATATATATATATTATATATATAAAATATAATATATAATATATATATTCAAAAACCGACAGTGTGGCCCAAAAAAAAACGAAAGTTTCTCTTTTTTTAAAATTTTGTAATATATACAGGAGAAGGGATTACTAGACGCTTGCTCCCGGCATTTTAGTCGCCTCTTACAACACGCATGACTTACGTAGGGAAAAATTCTGTTCCACTTCCCCATGGAGGTAAGAAGAAATAAACAAGAACAAGAACTGAAAGAAAATAGAAGAAAACCCAGAGGGGTGTATATATATATATATATATATATATATATATATATATATATATATATATATTATATAAAAATATATTAAAAATTATATATATATATATAATATATATATAATATATATATATATATAAAATTTTATATATATAATATTTTTTGTACTGTATGTTAGTGTGACCTAAGTGTAAGCTGAAGTAGGAAGACGTACCTGAAATCTTGCATGTGTATGAGTCAGAAAAAAAGACACCAGCATCCTACCATCATTAAAACAATTACAGGCTTTCGTTTTTACACTCACCTCGCAGACGGTAAGTACCTCCCTGGGTGGTTGCTGTCTACCAACCTACCACCTATATATATATATATATAATATATATATATTATATATATTATATATATATATATATAATATATATATATATAATGTATATATTATATATATATAATTTTATATATATATAATATATATATATATATATATAATTATATTTGCAATAAGATCACAGTAAATATGTCGTGCCGAATATGTAAAACTGGTCAATTAGCAAGAACTCATTTAAAATTAAGTCCTTTCTAAAATTTTCTCTATACTTTTAAAGATATATTTTTTCATTATGTTGAATGTAAAAATTTTTAATTTTGCACCAAAAGAATTTAGAAAACTTACCTAACCTTATTATGACAAGAACAATTTATTTTAGCCTAACCCAACTAAATATATTTCAGATTTGTTTACATAATTTAATACTAAATAAACCCAGTGAAATATATTTTTTTTTCGTTAGGTTCAGAATGATTTTGGCGAAATTATTATATACACAAATTTTCACTTGTCTATATGACAAGATGAACGTTGCTATTTAAGCCAAGATGGCAAGTTCTGCCTATTCGGCACGACATATATATATATATATATATATATATATATATATATATTTATATATATATATATATATATATATATATATATATATATATATATATATATATATTGCTAATAATAACAATATAATAATACTCTACTACTAAAATAATGATTATAATATACTACTGATAATGATAACTATATATATATATGTCAATCAGGGACTTCTCCAGTATATAATTATTTACACTTAACAACTTTGTTTTATTTGCAGAGTCAAATTAAATTTCTGCAGCGGTGGGAAGACAAACTATGGAAGCGCTCTCAAGACAAGTCAACACTACAGCCACACAAGCTTTAACCCTCGACCGTACTTCTCCTTAGGACAGACGCCGTTACAATATATGGCAGTACCTTGGTTCTTCCTCTGTGTCATCTGTTATATGTTGCACTATCTGGGCCTTCGTCTGAATCATATGTTACTAGGTGGTACTCTCTTGGCACTCCATCTGGGTCATTTGCTACAGTATGTGGCACTACCTTGGCCCTCCATCTGGGCCATTTATGATATGTGACACTCTGTTAGCCTTTCATCTGGCCTTCATCCTTCAATGTGGCACTACCTTGGTTCTTCATCTGGGCCATCCTTTTACATGTGGCACTACCTTGGCCCTTCATTACTATCATGTCAGGTTTTCCAGCTAACTCATCAGTCTATAACTCACGCTAGCCTGATCCTTGAACCTTGATCTGACTCTTTCATCATGATCTGATACTTCTTGAAATAACACTTCTTGAAATGACACTTCTTGACCATACTCTTACGTCTTGACACTCACATCTGGACCTGTCACTTATATCTTAACCTGGCACTTGCATCTTAAAATGACACATCTTCACCTGACACTAACATCTTAACCTGACACTTACATATGCGCCTGGCTCTCACATATTGACCTAACACTCACAACATGACTCGAGACTTGCAGCTTAACCTGACACTTTCATCTTGACTTGACACTTTCAGCTAAGTTGACTCTTAAATCATATGACACTTAAATCATGACCTGACACTTACATCTTAACTCACTCTACTCCAAGAACTTGAAGCACAACATATCCCGAACAGTTGAATTCATGCCAAATATACATATGAAGAATAATATTTTAGATTCCCTAATCATAAAAATTAAAATTATTCTAACTTACATATACTTCAAGAAGTCTTACAATGTGAATTATAAAAACATTTTTTTAAGTATATTTAATGTCTATATTGAAATATTGATTGTCAGAAAACAAGCCAAGTTTAGGTTGCTGGCCTTCTTATCATCGATGCCGAGGATGAGAGACTACTCACTCCCGTCTTCGAATAGGAGAGATGCCCTGTTCCACTCTGTGAGAATTATCAGGTTCCAGTTTCAGTTTGCTATATTGAAAGCATTGTCGTTGATTAATTCATGAAATGGAGATCATTTAATACAAGGAGTGGTAGAGGCTTGATCCTCCATCAGTACATCGTTTCCAGGTCTTTGTCCAGCCTGGTAGTAGGTATTCGCCAGTCTAGAGCATATCATTTTTTGGTCTGTATTTAGTTAGTGTCTGTATTTTGTTAGCTCCCTCACCTGTCCCTCGTGTGGCTTCCTTACCTACCCCTCACGTGGCTCTTTCACCTGTCCCTCACGTGGCTCTTTCACCTGTCCCTCATGTGGCTCTTTCACCTGCCCCTCATGTGTTTCCCTGTATATGATCTTCGTGTGGCTTTCTCATCTGCCCTTTCCCGTAGTCCCTTTACTTTCCCAATCCTATGCATCCATCACCTGCCTCCTCCTGTGGCTCCTTCACTTTTCCAGTCCTGTGGAACCATCACCTGCCTCCTCTTATGTCTCCCTCTCCTTCCTCCTGTGATTCCCTTACCTGCACCTCATACCCTCACATGCATTCGTGTGGCTCCCTCATCTGCCCCCTCCTGTACCTCCCTCACTTACCTGGAGTATTCCTGAAGAGTTTCGGGGATCAACGGCCCCGTGGCCCGGTCAGTGACTAGGCCTCGCGATGGATCAGGGCCTGATCAACCATGCTGATTCTGTGTTAGGTAAGACACATATGCAACAGTTAGGTATCTTTATTTCGAAACGTTTCGCCTACACAGTAGGCTTCTTCAGTCGAGTACAGAAAAGTCTCTTCTGCTTCTATCAACTTTTCTGTACTCGACTGAAGAAGCCTACTGTGTAGGCGAAACGTTTCGAAATAAAGGTACCTAACTGTTGCATATGTGTCTTACCTAACAACCTGTCAGTATTCTATACCATTTTGATGTTCATGCTGATTCTGCTTGCCGCACGCAAACCGACGAACGAACCACAGCCCAGCTGGTCAAGTACTGATTTTAGGTCCCTGTCCAGCTCCCACTTGAAGATGGCCAAGGGTCTATTGGTAATCCCCCTTATGTATACTTGGAGGCAGTTGAACAATTTTGGGTCCCTGTTGCTTATTGTGTTGTCTCTTAGCGTACTCGTTTTTCCTTGAGGGGAAGTTGCATCTCCTGCCGAGTCTTTTGCTTTCGTAGGGAGTAATTTTCGTGTGCAGATTTGGTATTAATCCCTCCAGGATTTTCCAAGCGTATATTATCATGTATCTTTCTCGCTTGCATTCCAGGGAATGCAAATCAAGGGACTTCAACCATATCTAGTAATTTAGGTGCTTTACCGTACTTATGTGTGCCATGAAGATTCTCTGCACATTCTCCAGGTCAACAGTATTGCCTGCCTTAAAAAAGGCCATCGGTTTACAACAATATTCCAACCTAAAGAGAGCAAGCAATTTGAAGAGAATTATCATGGGCATGGCATCCCTAGTTTTGAAGGTTCTCATTATCCATCTTATCATTTTTCTAGCAGATGTGGTAGATGCATTATTGTGACCTTTGAAAGTGAGATACTCTGACATTAACACTCACAAGAGTTTTTCGCTCTATTGTGGGGTTGGAATTTGTTTTATATTCCGATTTAGTTTTAATTTCCTCAAGTTTTCCATATCGGAGTACTTGAAATTTCTTTTCACTGAACTTCATATTATTTTCTACTGCCCATTTAAAGATTTGGTTGATGTTCACTGGCACTGTCTTCCATGGAGGACACTGTCGTGCAAATTCGGGCGTCATCCGCAAAGGAAGACACGGTGCTATGGCTTACATCTCTGTCTATGTCAGATATGAGTATAAGGAACAGGATGGGAGCGAGCTTTGTGCCTTGTGGAATAGAGCTTTTCACTGTGGCTACCTCAGACATTATTCTTTTTGCTAGTACGCTTTGTGGTCTATTTGTTAAAAAGTTATAGATCCATCTTCCAACTTTTCCTGTTATTCCTTTATCACGCATTTTGTGTACTATTACATCATGGTCACACTTGTCAAAGGCTTTCTCAGTGTCTGTGTGTACTACATCCACATTTTGTTTGTCCTCCAGTGCATCTAAGACCTTGTCATAGTTGTCTTGTAGTTGGGACAGGCAGGAGCGGTTTGCTCTAAACCTATGTTGCCCTGGGTTGTGTAACTGATGGGTATCTAGATGGGTGGCGATCGTGCTTCTTAGAACCCTTTCGAAGATTTTTGCAATTGCTTTACGGCCCCCTTTGTGAAGTGGGGCTATGTCTCTTGTTTTTAGTGACTGTGGGATGATCCTTGTATCTATGCTCCCTCTCCATAGAATGCCAAAGGCACGTTACAGGGACTTCTTACAGTTCTTGATGAACACGGAATTCCATGAGTCTGGGCTTGAGGCAGAGTGCATGGGCATGTCATTTATTGCCTTTTCGAAGTTATGTGGTGTTAGGATAATATCAGAGATTTTTTAATTGACCAAATTTTGAGTCTCGGTCAAAAAAAAAAATAATTTAGGTCGTCTACTCTTGGTTTGGTTAATGGCTCACTAAACATCGAGTCATACTGGGACTTTCGTATCTTACTCATTTCTTTGCTGTCATAAATTGTATTTTTTTCCAATTTCACCGATTGCTTTTAGCTCTTCCTGGGTTTCTTGTTTCCCATACAATTCCATAAGCTTAAGTTCGATATTTGCTATTTCTCTGACCAGTGCCTCCCTTCGTATTTCAGATATACTGGCCCCTTTCAGCAGCTCAGTGATCCTTCGCCTTCGCCTGTATAGGGAGTGTCTTTCTCTTTCTAGTTTACACCTCTTCCTTTTTTCTTAAAGGAATGGGCCTTGAGCATACCTCAAGTGCCAGTGTTAATTATTTCTAGGCAGAGGTTTGGATCCATGTTGTTTAGGATTTCTTCCCGGCTTGTTTCATTTAGGACATGGTTGACTTGATCCTGCTATATGTTTTTGTTATTAAAGTTGAATTTGATGAAGGCACCCTTGTAACTCTTCACATTTTGCTGATCAGGGACCCTGAGCATACAGGTCTGTACCTCTGTCATGTTGTAATCTGACTATCCTGTCTTTGATACGGTTATATTGCAACATATGGGAATCTTTATTGAAGAAACGTTTCACCACACAGTGGCTTCATCAGTCCTATACAAACAGGAAGGTAGAAGGAGAGGGGGAGTTTGGGGTAATCAGTACCTCAGCCTGGAGTCGATATGTTCAGTCCATCAATCTTGTAGACTGATGGACTGAACACATTCCACTGCACACATTCCACTGCACACTGAACACATTCCACTGCAGGTGGTGGACACCTGCAGTAGAACAAGATTATAAACGCCAACCAGCACAGATTCATGGAAGGCAAATCCTGTGTCACAAACCTACTGGAGTTTTACGACAAGGTAAAAGAAGTAAGACACAAGAGAGAGGGGTGGGTTGATTGCATTTTCCTGGACTACAAGAAGGCCTTCAACACGCTCCTCACAAGAGATTAGTGCAAAAGCTAGAGGATCAGGCATGCATAACAGGAAGGGCACTGCAATAGATCAGAGAGTACCTGACAGGGAGGCAACAACGATTCATGGTACGTGATGAGGTATCACAGTGGGTGCCTGTGACGAGCGGGTCCCACAGGGGTCAGTCCTAGGACCAGTGCTATTTTTGGTATATGTGAATGACATGATGGAAAGGATAGACTCAGAAATGTCCCTATTCGCCGATGATGTGAAGTTAATGAGGAGAATTAAATCAGGTGAGGATCAGGCAGGACTACAAAGAGACCTGGACAGGCTGGACGCGTGGTCCAGCGACTGGCTCCTAGAATTTAACCCCAAATGCAAAGTCATGAAGATCGGGGAAGGGCAAAGAAGACCGCTGAGAGAGTATAGGCTAGGCGGCCAAAGACTGCAAACCTCACTCAAGGAGAAAGATCTTGAGGTGAGTATAACACCGAGCACGTCTCCGGAAGCACACATTAACCAGATAACTGCTACAGCATATGAGCGCCTGGAAAATCTTAGAATAGCGTTCCGATACCTCAGTAAAGAATCGTTCAAAACTGTACACCGTGTACGTCAGGTCAATACTGGAGTATACAGCAGTGGTTTGGAACTCACACCAGGTCAAACACGTAAAGAAATTAGAGAAAACGCAAAGGTTTGCAACAAGGCTGGTTCCAGAGCTAGGGGAAATGTCATACGAAGAAAGGTTAAGGGAAATCTGCTTGACGACACTGGAGGACAGGAGGGTTAGGGGAGACATGATAACGACATACAAAATACTGCGAGGAATAGATAAGATGGACAGAGACAGGATATTCCAGTGAGGGGACACAGACACAAGGGGTCACAATTGGAAGTCGAAGACTCAGATGAGTCAAAGGGATGTTAGGAAGTATTTCTCCAGTCATAGAGTAGTCAGAAAGTAGGATAGTCTGGCAAGTGATGTAGTGGAGGCAGGATCCATACATAGCTTTAAGAAGAGGTATGATAAAGTTCATGGAGCAGGAAGAGCGATCTAGTAGCGGCCAGTGAAGAGGTGGCGCCAGAAGCTGTGGCTAGACCCCTGCAACCACAACTAGGTAAGTACACATGCACACTAAAACAATAACTATTTCATAAATTAAAATTCCCCACTAAAAAGTTCACCGAAGCTTTGGCAAGCGCTTCAGTGATTATAAAAAAAATAATTACGGTTGACGCCGATAGCAGCCAATAAAAAAAATGACGCACAATCTGGAAAAAATCATTATCTGCAGAGGGAAGTTCACCAGACGACAAACATCCGTGGGTTAGGTGATCAGTCCTCAGACCACTGCTACATGATCAGTCCT